CCCTTGTCCACTCCGGTGATGTAGATTCCCAGCGCGTATTCAGCTCCTCCTCGGATCATCAGGCCCAGAGACCGTCCGTCATCCAGAACCAGGTTCACCTGTTTGTGACGGGCAGAACAGCAGATAAAACAGGCGCTCCATAAACATCGGCGCTTTACAGGACTCAGATTGATGACTGTGGCTGAGGAGTCGGGCTCTTAATAACACAGAAGACAGATAACACGTCCGATTAATGAAACGCCGTCAAGGAACAAACCTAAAATCCTGCACATTGTTAAACCTGCAGCAATAAATCCACATTAGATGTTTAAAAATGAGGCAGAGGATCATTAGGTTCCCAAAAGGGTCATAAATACCTGAAACAGAAGAAACTCATAGATCCAAAGGCGAGTTATGTGTGGAAGATTACATAAAAAATGTGACACTATTTATGGATCATCTTGTCAGGATTCAGCGGCATGAATTTAGATAAAACTGGAGTTATCTGAGAGACATCACCTCAAACTGGACGTCCATTTATTCCCTTTAACACGTCATTATATTCTGTCAATTCGTCACTAATAGACATTTTTCTCATTTTACTAATCTAATTATTGAAAATGAAACTTTTTAAGCTGTTCTCAATCATCAGTTTTGTAGCGTTAGCTTTGGAGTGTTAGCTTGTAGCATTAGCATAGCATGTGTCATCATTAAGGATTTCCTGTAATGATTTTAAGTCGTTTTGACGGATTAGTGATCTCGTTAAGTTGCTGTTAATCATCAGCGTTAGCGTTAGCTTGTAGCATTAGCAAAGCTAGCATGTGGCATTTCTCAGGATTTTCATCATTTCTGGTATCAAACTCTTTAAAGAGGGTCACATAAGTGTCTTTTCTGGATGTATTCAACATCCTGATGCTGCCAGGATAATTTCCTAGTATTGATTAAATTGAAAATTGATTATTTTAACAACCTTAACAGAGACAGTGTGTTCCACTGCTTCTGACACGTCGAGACGACTTCAAAAAGTCCCTGATGAGAAAAAAAACACTGCTGATGATCCGTCAGTTAGATGAATGGGTGGGAGATAAAACAGCCTCTATTGGATTAATGGCTATCTCTACTTCAATATACATCTTTCTGCATAAATGGAGGGATATTATGATGCATCTGAGAGGCACTGATGATCTGACTGATCTAACCAACATCTTTAATAAGGAACTGAAATAGTACATGACATACTAATCAGGAAACGACTTGGAATGCACCAAACACCTCAGGCATCCTCTTGGACTCCTAAATTTTCCCGCTGCCAATCACTTTTCAATCTCAGACGTCCATCAAGACAGAAAGACAACAGACTTGGAATCGAGTCGACGGTTAAAGCTGGTTAGAAAAGTTAGAGAAGCAGAGGACGCTTGACTATGCTCTTTGGGTGAACTGAAAAACGACCGCTTTGCCCGCTCTAATGAGAAAAAACACACCGAGGCAAACAACACATGTAAAAACAGCTGTTTGTGTAATTCTGTGTGGTTGGCCGCCTGCCAGTCCTCCACGGCACGCTGCCCTGAAACGCTGCAGTGCATCGTTTTATTTTCAAACGCCGCAAAAGAAGAAGAAAAAACAAAACAAAAATGTTGTCAGGAAAGTAAAAGAAACAGCTCATTGTCTCCTGAAGAGATTGAGCAGAAATGAAGATTTGTACAAATATATTATAGTGATTCTTCATTAGCTGAAGAGTTCAGCTGCTTCTTTGACTGATCAAATGTAAAACCAAGAATATGTATTTAAAATGATATGTTAGCTTTAAAATAAAACGTTTACTGTTTATTTTTCCATCCTTGCGGTCAAATTAATGGATTTTATATTGCAACTTTAGAAATATTTGCACAGAATTTTGTGAGCTCTTTCCTTCTTGGGACTGCTTCAAAAATCTACAACAAAAGATGAGAAAAAATAAACAAATTTTATTCTTAAAAGAATTTAAACAGCTCAATTTTTGTTTATCGCGATACAGATCACAGATGATAATTTGAAATTGAGTCACGCTAATCCAGCAGAGTAGTAAAAGTAAGAAACACTGACTCCTGCTGGTGATTTTTAATAATATTTTAACCAGCTTTATTTTTGTAAACTTGTAACTTTCCCCATATCATCTGATTTATTTTGGATCTGACACATTTCTACTCTACAGCTAATATTTTGTTAGCATCTTGTAAAAGCTAGCAGATCTTTTCTGCTGCTTTTGAAAGTTAATACAAGTGGTGGGGCTAAATTAAAATTTTAATTGAGTTAACTCTGCAGGCTCTAATCAGTTAATAACATTTTCATCTAAAACATTTCAAAATAAGCAGCATTCTTAATTCAGAAACAATTTTTGCTGCTAAATTGAAGAACACATATGAGCGCAACAACATCAATATTTGTTGTTTTTAATCTATTATTGATACCAGTGCAATTGAACCCGACTTGTTTGAAATAATATTAACAGATTGTTTAAGAAGCAGAAATTAACTTCCAGTGGGGCAAAAGAATCTGTTTTACCGTGCGGATGCCGCGCGTGCGTCGGGATTACAGCCGTACTAGAAACACAACACAAAGGTTCCGTCTGGGGAAAAAAAATTAATTGTGTTAAATTTTTTTTTAAAGCGTTAAAATATATGCAATAAATTAGTTTAAATTAACGCACTAAACTGCATGACCTTGGTTTTAACTTTTATTTCGGTTGAATAAAAAGTGGGAGGGATTTTATTATAATCTATAGAGGGGCCCAGAAAATGTTTGGGAACCACTGCTTTAAGATATTCTCTTTTTACAGACAGCACCAGAGGCTAAAGAGCTAATGAAGAGTTTATTTATATAATAATAATAATAAAGCCAGTGTATTCTGTGCCACTGAAAGTCTTTGTTTACTGCCGTTAGGTTTTCTCATATCCTTATGACTTTATCTACAGCTATTTGTTTTCTCCCTTAAGCGTCTTTTTACTTAATGGGAAAATCATCTAATGTCATGCTTTTCTGTATAAAACCGATAAGCATATGGTGTATAAATTCACACTCTTTAGATTTAGGAAATAAAATAAAGTTTTGTTGGGGTAAAAAAAAAAAAAAAGAATTGAACAAAGTTCTTGGAAAACAATAAGTCAGCATTTTTTCATACCTCCATTCAGAGACCAAAGGCTGCCTTTTATAATTTTACAGTCTGCAGTGAGAGTGGTGTAACTGTGCCAAACTTGAAATGTTATCTATTTTCCCCATCACAATGAGGTCTTTCATTACCCGGTCCGCGATGCCGCTGACGCTCGCCAAGATCGAAAAGTGGAATCAGTTGGACCCGGGCGGCTGCAGGACGGCCCGTATGCAAATATCTCAATTAAATCATGTCAGCTCTGGACCCGCAGGCGCACAACCGGCATCTGGCACAGCAAGCCTCACTTTCCTTCAGCTCCTCTTGTTTTAATAACAAGTGTCTGGGTGTTGGAGGCCTCGGATCACCTCGGGGAGAATTATAGCGTTCAGGTTCTGTGACATTTCTGCAGGACGTTGAGAAAAGTTTTAATTACCAGAGCCATCTTTTATGGGCTCCACGCAGCGTCCCCAAACATCGACTGCTGCCACTAAATCAATTAATTGCTCCCTCTCCTTTCCTACTGAGGCTCTGACTGGTCTGCTGCTTCTGTGAAGAGCATCGCAGAACATTTTTGGGTTAAAGTAACGACACAACAGGAGCTTTTTAAAATGTTTTCATGCTGCAACGACAACTTTCAATATATTTACTGGGATTTAATGTGACTGACCGTCAGAGTTGGGTAGTCGAAACAAGTTACATTTCCAAGTGTATAGATATTGAAAAAGTTCTCAAGATGATTATATATGGCGCGGGTGCCCGAGGGCCAAATCTGGCCCGCCATACGTTTTTAAGTGGCCCAAATTATAGCAATAGGCCCCAAAAGTTTTTCACCAATAACTGCAAAATTCACACAGAAATCAAGAGATCTACACATATTTTCTGGGTTTATCACAATTTTTTCTCAAAAATTGGCCAAAAACATTTGGGTTCGAGTGACTGCTAAAATTTGATGTCAACTTATAGTCCATGACCGATGGAGCGATTAATAAAAGATCACATTTAACATCAAATATCGTAAAGATTCCTGTCAGATATTTCTAAATTAGCTCCACAAAATCTGTGATGTTGCCTGCAGAAAACCACAAAAACAATCCTGGACAGAGTGATTAGTGTGAACAGATGTTCAATATTATGTTAATTTAACCTATTTATTGATATTTTAACAATTGAATTGGTTTTTATCAATTCGATCTGGCCCCAAATGGAAGTAAGTTTGATGCCCCTGATATACGAGATAAAAACAATAAATCATGGACCATTTTGGATGTAAACGAGAACAAAGAGGGAAAACGCCTCAGAAACAATGAAGTTGTGTATAAAACTCAGAAGAACTGGTCAGATGTTGAACCTTGAATTAAATGATTCTCTGAAAATGAAATGCAGAACTTGACCTCTGTCTCATATCCAGCAGTAGAATTACTAAATGCTGTTCTGTTAAAGTTTTACAGCTTTATAAAGATACGGATTACAAACTGATGTGAACACGATGCAAACATTGGACTCTCTGCAGTCTGTTGTCATTATAGAGCAGTCAGGAAACAGGAAGCATATTTTCCCTGAACCACCAAACACATCTAGTTTCTCCAGCAAGAATGAATCTTTCATTTTATTTTCTCAAGCTGTGGAGAGCTAACATGTTTAGCAACCTGAGTTTAGCCACTCAGTCGGTTATTTTGAACAGAAACTGTTGTGAAGATGATTCAGTTTAAAATATCATTGCTTTCAGAGCGCTGCTCTTCCTGGTGTCAGGTTACTTAATACACACACTGAGTCTGGGTGGAACCAGCAGCTGCTGAAGCTGGAAGCTGATTGGCTGCAGCCTCTCTGCCCTGGCATGTGATTGGTGGATCACAACTCAAGCTTGTTTCTGTTCTCAGGAAATGAAACTAACAGCCAGTGCTACTGAGAGCAGAAATGGAGCAGCAGGCAGTTCAGCTGGATCGGGAAACTTTCTCATGTCCCATCTGTCTGGATCTACTGAAGGATCCGGTGACGACTCCCTGTGGACACAGCTACTGCATGAACTGCATTAAAAACTTCTGGGATGAAGGAGAGAAGAAGGAAAGCTACCATTGTCCTCAGTGCAGGAAATCCTTCACACAGAGGCCTGACCTGCAGAAAAACACCATCATAGCAGCTTTAGTGGAGCAGCTGAAGAAGACTGGACTCCAAGCTGCTCCTGCTGACCACTGTTATGCTGGACCTGAAGATGTGGCCTGTGATTCCTGCACTGGGAGAAAACTGAAAGCCAGCAAGTCCTGTTTAGTCTGTCTGGCCTCTTTCTGTGAGAAACACCTTCAGCCTCATTTTGATTCAGCTGCATTTAAGAAACACAAGCTGGTGGAGCCATCCAAGAACCTCCAGGACAACATCTGCTCTAAGCATGATAGGTTGCTGGAGGTTTTCTGCCGCACTGATCAGAAGTGTATCTGTTATGTTTGCATTATGGATGAACATAAAGGCCATGAAACAGTGTCAGCTGCAGCAGAAAGGACTGAGAGGCAGAGAGAGCTGGAGGAGAGACGAGGAAACATCCAGCAGAGAATCCAGGACCAGGAGAAAGATGTGAAGCTGCTTCAGCAGGAGGTGGAGGCCATCAATCGCTCTGCTGATAAAACAGTGGAGGACAGTGAGGAGATCTTCACCCAGCTGATCCGTCTCCTCCAGAAAAGAAGCTCTGAGGTGAAGCAGCAGATCAGATCCCAGCAGGAAACTGAAGTGAGTCGAGTCAAAGATGTTCAGGAGAAGCTGGAGCAGGAGATCACTGAGCTGAAGAGGAAAGACGCTGAGCTGGAGCAGCTCTCACACACAGAGGATCACACCCAGTTTCTCCTCAGCTACCCCCCACTGCCAGCACTCAGTGAGTCCACACACTCATCCAGCATCAACATTCGTCCTCTGAGACACTTTGAGGACGTGGCAGCAGCTGTGTCAGAGCTCAGAGACAAACTACAGGACGTCCTGAGAGACTCATGGACAAACATCTCACTGATTGTCACTGAGGTGGATGTTCTACTGTCAGAACCAGAACCAGAACCAGAACCAAAGAGCAGAGCTGGATTCTTAAGATATTCATGTGAAATCACTCTGGATCCAAACACAACACACACACGGCTGGTTCTATCAGAGGGGAACAGGAAGGTGGCAAGGATGAATCAGGATCAGAAACAGACTTATTCTAATCATCCAGACAGATTCACTTATTATTTTCAGGTTCTGAGTAGAGAGAGGCTGACTGGACGTTGTTACTGGGAGGTGGAGTGGAGAGGGGAATCAGTTTATGTAGCAGTCGCATACAAGAGTATCAGCAGAGCAGGTTTAGGGGATGAATGTATTTTTGGATATAATAATAAATCTTGGGCATTATATTGTTCTCAAAACAATAGTAAATTTTGGCACAACCAAATTTCAACCTCCATCTCAGGTCCAGTTTCCTCCAAAGTCGGAGTGTACCTGGATCACACAGCAGGTATTCTGTCCTTCTACAGCGTCTCTGAAACCATGACTCTCCTCCACAGAGTCCAGACCAGATTCACTGAACCGCTACTGGCTGGAGTTAGGATTAATAAGATTGGATCCTCAGCAAAGTTCTGTAAACCTAAATAATAAGATCGCCTTACTTTATTGCTCTGTTATTTAGTTTCTGGTCTCAATATCTGTTTATGTGTTTAAAAAGGAATGTAATTGATCATGTTTTTGTGTCATATTCATCATGATTTATTTCTTCTTTCTCTGTTTGTCACTTCAGCCAAACTGAGGTTTATAGGTGGATCAGAGTTTTATTGCACAAAACCTCCAGAAACAAATCAGATTTTCTAGGCTAATGTTAGCGGATATATCTATAAAATATTTTGTGTTTATATTTCCTAATTGTATAAATAACTTGTGTGACAATGTGTAACATGTCCTATAGCTTTGTGCATCTTCAAAACATAATTCTGTTCATATATCAGCCTTTGTGGATCTTTTCATTATAAATAAATACAATGTGAACAAACCAGACCATATTGTAACTTGATCTATAGATAGAAATATCAGATGTATCAGTATTTTTATTTTATTTTAAGTATATGAACCTTAACATTTAATAAAGTTGTTCTGTTTGGAGGAGACAGGAAGTCAACATGCCAAAATTCAAGATGGCTGCCTGTTCGGTACCTCAACGAACCTACACACACATCAGCATGGAACCAGGCCTCCAATAGTGCTGTCAATCAATCTGTGTACGCTCTGCCAACAACCTACATTACAGGAACAATGATCATCTACCGTCATCGGTGGCTAGGCTGACATAGCATTCATGACATGCCATGCTAGCTGCAGCATAGCACAGAGCACACAGAAAGGTGATTGACAGCACTAAGCTCCGCCTCCTGGCTCTGATTGGTTTGTCACAGATTACTGGTCTCCTTTCAAACTGCTACAACATAATGACGATTTTTCTTTAACCGTCTTCAGGTTGTTTGTTTTTCGTGTGAACTGCAGCTCTCCCAGCTTAAGGACGGATCGGTTCTCCGTCTGGCTCTGAACGTCTCTACCTTCTTTTGGTCTCCCTCATGAAGCAGCTGCATGTTGCTGCGCCGCTGGCTGTCGGTCCGCCGCAGCGTGGCGCTCCGATGCTCGAGTAGATCCGGAGGAGGAGACACGCTGCGACCCTGAGGATCCACCCAGGTGGAAACGTGGTTGGTGACGTAGTCTTTGCTGTTTCACAAGCATCTCAGTGATTTCATTTTGCTTCTTCATAATCTCTGTGAAAACATCAACATCAACCTGAGGAGATATTTTCCTCTTCTGGTTTCACTTTTAACGTTTTACTAATCAGTGTCTCTTGGGGAATTGGTAAAGGTGCAAGAGGAGACAATCGTTTCTGAGTTCTTGAAGCCTTTTGAGCTGTAGCAGCACGTATGAACTCAGTAGACGTTCAGAAACTGATGTATCCTGATTTGTGACACCAACGCTGGAAACAAGACTTTCCTGCTCTTGTTTAGAGTTGTAGATTTTCATCTTTGCATCCGTGTCCACCAGCTCGGTTCTCAACGCCAACGCTTCTTTTCTTGCTTGTAAACTGAAGTTCTTCCAGCTCTAGCTCATGTTTTTCTTGCAGCGCATCACCTCTGCTTTCAGAGCGGCTCTTTCCACCTCGGCTTCCATCAGCGCCTTTGCAACTCTTACTCCTCTCATTAGAAGCTTTACTCATTGCACCGGGCACCAAGATGGCCGCCTTGCTGCCTGGTTTAGCTTCGGACCCAGATAGCCTTGCAGAGCCTTTTCTGATCGATTGCTGTCTGTGAGACGCTGTCATCCGGCTCAACTCTACGGTCATGAGATGCCGCCTTTAATTCAACTTCAAATGCTGAACATACTTCGCTCTTCTGTGCATCAGGATCACCATTCATCCAAGTTTCGATTTCATCCAAGAACTCTTTAAAACTGATCAGTTTTGGTTCATACCAATCACCATGATCGGTTTCTTTCTCATCATCCTTAAGCAGTCTTTGAATGGAAGATTGCAAGTCCATAAACTCCGCTAAATAATTATTAAAAGTTTGCATTTGCTCATCTATGGAGGATTTTGATTCTCCAGCATCTATTAGTGCCTGGATTTCATTTCTCTTTCTTGTCAGCACGCTGAGTTTGGCTCTGCGCCTTTTATTGTATTAAAGATTTATTTTTCTTTTTGAAATCCTTCATCTCGTTCATCCATTTTTAACACAAATTTTGTTTCTCCAAATCCAAAAGAAAAGTGTCCAAAACAAACTTTTCACTTTACAGATCAGCGTTTTTGCTCTTTCCAACAAAGAACTGCATTTACTCACAAACTTTGTGCGTCTTCTCCAAGTTCATCCAAGTTCAATCCATGAAGTTTCATCCATCCAAGTGCGATTGTCCACTCTTTCAAGCTTTTCTGATTTCCAAAAAATGATTTTTTGACTTAAATGTCACAGCCTTCTATTTCCAACAAACCAAAATTTCCAACTAAGACTGTGGGTGTTAACAGGCGGTGTGATTTGAACGCACTTCTTGAATGTTTGTAAAAAATATTATTTATTTCTTGGAAAAAATAGCGACAAAAAAAAACTAATTAAAGTGTCTTAAAACGTAGTCAAAATGAAAATTAATCTTATAAAAGTGTCCAACAAAAATGCTCCAGAAAAGTGGTCAAAAAATCTTTTACAATCTCCATTAAACACACCAGACATTTACCAAACAAATTTCTCCTGCACCCAGTGGGTTTTTAATCACGCAAATTACGATTCACACAGAAATCAACTGATTCCCACATTTTTTCTGGGTTTATCAACATTTTTTCTCAAATTGTCCAAAAACATTTGGGTTCAAGTGATGCTGCTTCAGCCTCACTTGCTGTCAAGTTATAGTCCATGACCGATGGAGCGATTAACAAAAGATCACATTTAACATCATATGTTAGCACAAATATTGTAAAGATTCCTTACAGATATTTCTAAATTAGCTCCACAAAATCTGTGATGTTGACTGCAGAAAACCACAAAAACAATCCTGGACTGATTAGTGTGAAAAGATGTTCAATATTATGTTATTTTAAGAAACGAGAACAAAAAGGGAAAACGCCTCAGAAACAATGAAGTTGTGTATAAAACACAAAAGAACTGGTCAGATGTTGAAACTTGAATTAAATGATTCTCTGAAAATAAAATGCAGAACTTGACCTCTGTCTCATATCTGGCAGTAGAATTACTAAATGCTGTTCTGTTAAAGTTTTACAGCTTTATAAAGATACGGATTACAAACTGATGTGAACACGATGCAAACATTGGACTCTGCAGTCTGTTGTCATTATAGAGCAGTCAGGAAACAGGAAGCATATTTTCCCTGAACCACCAAACACATCTAGTTTCTCCAGCAAGAATGAATCTTTCATTTTATTTTCTCAAGCTGTGGAGAGCAAACATGTTAGCAACCTGAGTTTAGTGACTCAGTCGGTTATTTTGGACAGAAACTTGTGAAGATGATTCAGTTTAAAATGTTGTTGCTTTCAGAGCGCTGCTCTTCCTGGTGTCAGGTTACTTAATACACACACTGAGTCTGGGTGGAACCAGCAGCTGCTGAAGCTGGAAGCTGATTGGCTGCAGCCTCTCTGCCCTGACATGTGATTGGTGGATCACAACTCAAGCTTGTTTCTGTTCTCAGGAAATGAAACTAACAGCCAGTGCTACTGAGAGGAAAAATGGCGCAGCAAGCAGTTCAGCTTGAGCGAGAAACTTTTTCCTGTTCCATCTGTCTGGATCTACTGACGGATCCGGTGACGATTCCCTGTGGACACAGCTACTGCATGAACTGTATTAAAAACTTCTGGGATGAAGGAGAGAAGAAGAAAAGCTGCCATTGTCCTCAGTGCAGGAAATCCTTCACACAGAGGCCTGACCTACAGAAAAACACCATGCTAGCAGCTTTAGTGGAGCAGCTGAAGAAGACTGGACTCCAAGCTGCTCCTGCTGACCACTGTTATGCTGGACCTGAAGATGTGGCCTGTGATTCCTGCACTGGGAGAAAACTGAAAGCCAGCAAGTCCTGTTTAGTCTGTCTGGCCTCTTTCTGTGAGAAACACCTTCAGCCTCATTTTGATTCAGCTGCATTTAAGAAACACAAGCTGGTGGAGCCGTCCAAGAACCTTCAGGAGAACATCTGCTCTAAGCATGATAGGTTGCTGGAGGTTTTCTGCCGCACTGATCAGAAGTGCATCTGTTATCTCTGCACTATGGATGAACATAAAGGCCATGAAACAGTGTCAGCTGCAGCAGAAAGGACTGAGAGGCAGAGAGAGCTGGAGGAGAGACGAGGAAACATCCAGCAGAGAATCCAGGACCAGGAGAAAGATGTGAAGCTGCTTCAGCAGGAGGTGGAGGCCATCAATCGCTCTGCTGATAAAACAGTGGAGGACAGTGAGGAGATCTTCACCCAGCTGATCCGTCTCCTCCAGAAAAGAAGCTCTGAGGTGAAGCAGCAGATCAGATCCCAGCAGGAAACTGAAGTGAGTCGAGTCAAAGATGTTCAGGAGAAGCTAGAGCAGGAGATCACTGAGCTGAAGAGGAAAGACGCTGAGCTGGAGCAGCTCTCACACACAGAGGATCACAACCAGTTTCTCCTCAACTACCCCCCACTGCCAGCACTCAGTGAGTCCACACACTCATCCAGCATCAACATCCGTCCTCTGAGACACTTTGAGGGCGTGGCAGCAGCTGTGTCAGAGCTCAGAGACAAACTACAGGACGTCCTGAGAGACTCATGGACAAACATCTCACTGATGGTCACTGAGGTGGATGTTCTACTGTCAGAACCAGAACCAGAACCAGAACCAAAGAGCAGAGCTGGATTCTTAAGATATTCACGTGAAATCACTCTGGATCCAAACACAGCAAACACATTCCTGAGACTTTCAGAGGGAAACAGGAAGGTGACATGGATGAATCAGGATCAGACTTATTCTAGTCATCCAGACAGATTCACTAATTATCTTCAGGTTCTGAGTAGAGAGAGTCTGACTGGACGTTGTTACTGGGAGGTGGAGTGGAGAGGGGAAGTTTCTGTAGCAGTCGCATACAAGAGTATCAGCAGATCAGGAAGAGGGGATGAAAGTACATTTGGATATAATGATAAATCTTGGGCATTAGATTGTTCTCAAAACAATAGTAAATTTTGGCACAACAGAATCTGGACCTCCATCTCAGGTCCAGTTCCCTCCAGACTAGGAGTGTACCTGGATCACACAGCAGGTATTCTGTCCTTCTACAGCGTCTCTGAAACCATGACTCCTCCACAGAGTCCAGACCAGATTCACTGAACCGCTAATGGCTGGAGTTATGGTTTATAAAATTGGATCCTCTGCAGAGTTCAGTAAACTTAAATAATACTTTATTGCTCTGTTATTTAGTTTCTGGTCTCAATATCTGTTTATGTGTTTAAAAAGGAATGTAATTGATCATGTTTTTGTGTCATATTCATCATAA